GAATCTGTGGTCATCCATTAGAAACATTCTCATGTCACAGTCTCATTTATCAGTCATTTATTGCCAACTACCATCTACCTTCGAATGCTTGTTTCAAGGACAAATCATGTTAAACAATATTACGAGTGATACGAGAAAATTTTCTAAAACATGAAAAACTGCTGAAAGTAGGTTAGATCAGGCGCAAAACAAGCTCGGGGAATTCTATCCAACCCAACTCTACTGTGAGGCAATAATGCGATTTCACTTAACAATGCGATATCGCTTTTATGTAAATGATCACTGTCGAGCACTGAAAATTGATTAGCATTTTCATTATGTGCTTAAATAAAATATTATTCATCAGCTGCATGACAACCTCATTTCGTTTTGAAGTTTCATCAAGCAATCGCTACTCGTTTTCGGCCGCATTAGACTTCCTTCGAGAAACGTACAAAAAAAGTGGATTAAAATCGTTATGGAGAGGAAATTCAGCCACAATGGTTCGTGTAGTTCCATACGCTGCCATACAATTCGCATCTCATGAACAATACAAAAGAATATTGCATGTCGATGCAAACGGGTAATCTCGCATTCTAATTTTAAAAAATAATTCAATCGTATGAATATTCNCAAAGTGAATATTGCCAATGAATATTTCACAATCAGAAAAGACAGCTCTAATAAACCTGAATAGAGCTAGCAGCATACGAAGTTAGGATTGCAGAATACATACACCGTATCGGAGGTTTTTGGCTGGAGCAATGGCTGGTTTAACGGCAACGATGTGTTTATATCCGTTGGATACGGCCAAGGCTCGGCTAGCAACCACCACAACGAAACAATATCGGACGTTGATATCTGTCTTTGTTAAGATGTACTCACAAGAGGGTTTTCGGTAATTACACCTTATCAATTTATGCTTTTCACTGTTTCGTACAAGCGAACCGAACATTTTTTGGTTTATAAGTTGCATTCGATAGTCTTAAACACTCAAAGGTTACGTATGTCCATTCGAATTTCGTTTAGTAGAATTTTGTGCTAAGTGAATATGTTCAATAGGTTTTGGTTTGAATGTACATTTAATTACAGGTCGTTTTACAACGGTATTGTACCGTCGTTGTTTGGGGTGTTGCAGTATACGGGAGCGAGTTTTTTTACTTTTGGAACATTGAAACTTCTTTATCAAGGTGATTAAGAGTTACGCTTCCATTTTTCAGAAGAATATTATTCCTTTATTGCTCATAAATTCAGATGATTATTCAGCCGTATGATGTAATCAAATGAATATTTCATGAGGATTACTGAACGAATATGTTTCAGAGCGCACTGGTGAAGCACCGTCACCATATCATCGTCTTTTATTCGGTGGTGTTTCGGGTGTATTAGGACAAACTACTTCATATCCGTTAGATATCGTTCGTAGACGAATGCAAACTGGCAGGGTGCCCTCGGGGCAGAGTGTCATCATCACGTTGTTTGTCATTTATAGAGATGAAGGTTTTATTAGAGGACTTTATAAAGGCTTAAGTATGAACTGGATCAAGGTAAGCACTCAGTTTCCTAACAGTTCAAGCTAAAATCGAAAGAAGTTTATCAAAACATGAGAGAACAGAAAATTTTGAGTGTTCCACGTGTCTTCCTATTATTTCTTCAGAAATCTGAAGAGATAATACCTCATCAGAATATCGTGCGAACAAATTTTCACACTCATGTAGTTGAAATTTTAACTGAGTAACGTAAATCAGTTCATTTAAGGGTCCAATCGCCGCAGCGATAAGCTTCACAACTTATGATTACGCATTTCTTTACGTGAGCAATTTAATTAAAACATTTTTGAAAGTATCAAACAATGATTGAAAGAAAAAATCGAAATCGTCATCAACCTCTTCAATTCACCATAAAACCAAAATTGCATTCATGGAGTTGTATGCTGGAAAGCATTCGCTGTTATGATTGATGCTTATCATTCGTTGTTACGCTAAAGATTGTCTTCGATTTAAATGCTCTTAAAAATTGATGGTATAATCATAGAAATGTTGAAATGCTTTAACAGTTCTGATGTTGATTACGGTTATTTTTGAAATGCAATCAGTATTATGCACTTTTTTGTTGAAGTTGATTGAATTAAACGAATGTGTGAGGGTTTTTTAGTGATTATTCAGTCGAAAGAATTTAAGAGTCATCATAAAAGACAACATTACATGTCTATTTATCCATTCGCTATCGCATTATTCCCCGCCACGATGTGACCTGGCTTCTTGTTTATACAACAATTGTAACGATCAATTGCGTTTTAATCTTTTATGTCAAATTTGGGTAATTAAACCAATAATATAAATGCGATGAAAACAATTATCGCAGCAATCTTATCATTACAAACAGAATATCAATCGTCATAAATAACAATTCAAAACGGATAACTTCATCCGACTTTATCCAAAAAGTCGTGCGAAAATAAACGCGGAAAAAAGATTTCAAGAAATGCCAAGTGGCCGTATGATTTCATCTCACTTTCAAGAAAATGAAATTAACAATCGGCAGTCGTAGAATTTCCTTTTGCACTGACGATGAGTTATTCCTATTCATCACTTGCACTACCCAATAATCTTGATTCTTCTCAGCTCATAATAACAAAATCTTGTCCATCTCGTTCATCTCATCAAACTATCCCTCGAACCATTTTCTCAGTGAACCTCTGCGGGATAGGTCTCTATTCAAATCAAATGACTCATTGCGTAAACAATCTTGTGTCAATCATACTATTCTTAAAAATCTACTTAAATAATCACCATTTTGAAATATTTAAAAGCTTCTTCACGACTCACTAGTCATCAGAACAATGAACATATACTGAATCGGTAACGGAACGCTGAATCTGAATATGGGTTGAAATGTATAAATGTAACGTGGAGTGATTTTCTCCAATGCTTTCTACTCATTTTTTT